TGAAATAGACTATTGATCTCATGCGCCATTAGAGGAGGAGACCCAGAATGGGGTGTGCAAAGTCCAATTTAGGTAATCTTCTGCCAATTTATTTTATGCTTTGCAGTCTTTGTTTTCTTGTTCTCAAGAGTCTTATGTGATTTTTGTTTATTGAATTAAAGAAGTTTTATTAGTGGCAGCAAGTGAGAACCTATATTTTATTTATTTTTGAGATAATTTTATTGCATTTGAACCTTTGTAGGTATTTTAGCCATTAGAAAAGAAGAAAATTAAAAATTGCAAATGCCGTGCTAGTTCACCTTGTCCAACTTTCAATAATACTTTATCCACTGCAGGTTGAATAGTTATTAATATGGATCATGCACTACCTAATGCATACCTAACCCTCATCTTCTACCCCAAAGGAGATCAAATTTGTTCCTAAAGAGGAAATTGAGAGCCTGTGCCATTCGTTCACTTAGTTAAATGACCCATTTAATACTTCATCTTTTGCTACTTACATATTCATGCTTCTGCTAATCATGTCTCTTTTTACCACCTAGACGATTTTTGGTCATTGATTCTAAACCTTCAGATCGTATGTGTGGTATGTCTCCCTTGTTTTCTTCTTATTTTCTTTATTTTGTTATGGACAAAGTTAGAATTTCTGATAGATTTTTTTTCTTCCATTGTTGTGAAAGGAATCGTAAGTATTTCGCTTCAATTGTTTTTGCCATAAATTTTCCGTGTTCCTATCTTTTGCCACAAAATTGATGTTTGTCAGTAGCATTAACAGGAGTCTAAATTGTAGTATTAACCTTTTTCTCTGTCCCACTGTGTTTTTCAGGACCTGAATACGAGGTTAAATTGCATTGGTCATGAAGCTGGCAGTCTCTACATTCTAGACTTGCCAATTACTGCTCCACAAGCTCTTTAGTTCAACATTAGTGCTAATAAAGATCGTATTTCGCAGTGGCATCTCTGACTTGGTCATTTGTCTTTCAAGACATTGAAAATTTTATTTCTTTGGTTATTTACTTCAATTAGTGTGTCAAAGCTTCAATGTGAAGTTTGTGAACTTTCAAAACATTGTAGAAACTCTTTTTTACCCAGTAATAACAAAAGTATCATTCCTTTTGTTATTCTCATTCTAATGTGTGGGATCCATCTCCTGTTACTTCTATTTTTAGTAATTAGTATTTCGTTTCTTTCGTGGGTAATTACTCTCAATGTAAATGGATCTAGTTTACAAAAAACAAAGATGAGGTTCCCAATATCTTCAAGGGTCTTCCATAAGATGATCCATACTCAGTTCGACACTAAAGCTAAGGTGTTTTGATATTGTTAAGGAGGGTTCGACTGCCATGGTGGGCTGCTGTGTTATTTGGAAGAGCATTAAAATTCTTGCTTATACACACCACAACAAAATGGGGTGGCCAAAGGAAACAGTAGACGCCTAATGGAAGTTAGTCATGCTCTTCTCTTCATCACTTGAGTATGAATGTATCCAAGAAGTACTTGTCAAAAGCCATGCTCATTGCGTCCTATCTTATCAATCAAATGCAATCTTATTCTATAGAGTGTATAAGTCTATCCACAAACTTCTCCATCCTAATCATCCATTGTTTGGTGTTTCACCGTTGTGTTTGCGTCAGTCATGTTTTCAGTCCTAACAATACAAAGTTGAATCCTAAATCCATAAATATATTTTTCTTGGTTATCCATCCTCTCAAAACAGTTGCAAATGTTATGATCCAGTAACAGGGAAGAAATTAGTTTCAATTGATGGAACTTTCTTTAAGTCCATTCATCTTTTTGTTAACCGCTCTTCAAGGGCAGCAAAATGCGGAAGAGAGGACACTTGTTCCTCATACTACCCCCACTTTCCTTGATTTTGGAGCTTAAGAGGACAGTGGGGAATTCCTATGATGCTAAAAAGAAAGAACTAAAAGTCTACACTCAGCAGAAATATAGAATGAAGAGGAGACCACCATAACTGACATGCTTTCAAGCCAATTATTTACCTCTGATTCAGGTAATTCCATCAATTCTTTGTGTAATGATTCGGTTCTGCCAATTACTGTACGAAAGGCACACATACTTTCACTGCTCACCCAATTAGCAATTCGTTTATGCCAATTACGTCCTCCCAGTGTTATAGAAGCTTTAGCTCATCCCAAGCAGAAAGAGGCTATGTGTGATAAGATGAAGGCATTAATCAAGAATGGTACACAAGAACTAGTAGACCCTCCCAAAGAGAAGAAGTTGGTTGGTTGCAAATGGGTCTACACTATAAAGCACAACATCAATGGTACAGTTGACACATACAAAGTATGATTAGTTGCCAAGGGGTTCACTCCGACTAATGGAATAGACTATGAGGAGACATTTGCTCTTGTGGCTAAGATAAACTCCATTTAGGTTCTCTCGTCTTTGGCGGCTAACTTGGAGTCACTATTGCACCAATTGGATGTCAAGAATACATTTCTTCATGGGGAGCTACAGGAAGAAGTGTACATGGTATGTCCTATTGGATTTCAGGCCCCTGGACATGATGGAAAAGTTTATAGAGTGAGAAAGGCCATGTATATACTAAAGCAATTTCCTTGAGCTTGGTTTGAGAAGTTCTATGGGCATATTAAAAAAATCAGGTATATACTCGAAAACACACTAACCATACATTATTTATCAAACCTATTAGAACCAGCACTGTTGTTTCATTGTATATGTAGATGATATTGTTGTAACAGACAATTGTCCTCAAGAAGTTTAGTCATTTAAGAGTTTTCTAGCAAGAGAAATTGAAATCAAAGACCTAGGTCAGTTGAAGTATTTTCTTAGAATGGAAGTGGTCAGGTCTAAAGGAGAAATTTTTACCTCCCAAGGAAGTATATACTAGACTTTCTTAAGGAGACGAGACTAGAAAGCTCAGAGCTAAACCAACTGACATTCCTATAGAACAAAATCAAACTTAAAGACCAAAGGAGTAAAGCTCTTAAATGTTTCAAAGATTAGTGGGTAGACCAATATATCTTTCACTTACATACCCAGACATTGCATAAGATGTGAGCATGATTAGTCAGTTTATGCATGCTTCACATACTACCCATCTTGAGGCCACTATCAGATAAGGACCCAAAATATCACCAGGTAAAAGGATTGTTGCTTACTAATCATGGGAACTTATAAATTGAAGTTTATCAGATGAAGATTGGGTTGTTCTACTATGGATCAAAGATCAACATCAGGCTATTACACTTTTGTTGGAGGTAACCTTGTAAATTAGAGGTGTAACAAGTAGTCAGTTGTATCTAGATCAAGTGCAGAAGCTAAATACAGATCCATGGCACATGGTGCGTGTGAATTACTTGACTGGTAATTCTTTTTTGGGATCTTGATTTTACTGTGAAGGGATAAATGTCCTCGTATGGTGATAACAAGGCAGTTGTAAGTATAAAGAAGTGGATCAACATTTTATTCAAGAAAGACATACTAATAGAGAAATTTGTTCTTCCATGTATTAAAACAGACGACCAGCTAGTACACATTCTTATCAAGGCTATCAAGAAGCCTTGACTACGAGTGATCTTAAAGTTGGGCATTAATAACATCTATGCACCAGCTTGAACGGGGAGTACTATACCAAAGTTTATATTCATTTTCTATGTATTTAAGTTCTTGGGGACTTATTTGTCTTTTTCCTTCTCAAAAGGACTTATTTAAGAACCTATTTATCTTTTTCCTTCTCATAAGGACTTATTTGTCCTTTCCCTTTCATAAGGACAATATTGTAATTTAATATAGGATTATTATTATAAAAGGTTTAAGCGGGGCATGGGGTCAGTAATGTATGATACCACCTTGAGCCCTCTCTGATTCTCTCATCAATGTGCCTCTCTCTCACCCTCTTATCTCTAAAACTCTTTCTTCCTAGACATTAATCTTTCTCACTATTCTTAGTTCTCTTATCTACTTGATTATTGTTTTTTAACTAACACCACTTCCAAGATTTCAGTAACATGCTGGCCTACCCAAAGAAAAAAGAATTGCACAAACAAGTTGGGATACTTATTTTAAGCACCCAACAATTCGGTCTGCACCAAACAAAGTTCCATATGTATGGAGATCATTAAATGCTTCATGATTGTAGAAAGCATAGCTTGTGGACTGATGTTTTACTTTATACGAAAGAGTTGTGACAGCAATTAATATCTAATGCCATGATAGTTGAAAAGGATGTCCATAAGGGTGACAAGCAAAACGAGTTTGCACTTTGGGAATGGATTGAATGTGTACTCCATATTATTGAGGGGGTGAGTTGGAAAAACTGTCATTGATGAAAATTCTTATCTCATCTATTCTAATGTTGAAGTTCAAACAGTTCAGAGTAATTAAGTTCTATTCATTTTTCTCCTTCCCAAAATTAATAAAGATAAAATGAATTTGTTTCCTTATTGAGAAGTTTTGTAAAGCCTAACAAGCAAAGTTCAATCTGGCCTTCTACATTCCAAACGAATTAACATGTCGGATTCTAACAATTTGGTTTAAGTTTGTAAGTTTCAGCTTATTTAGTCAAAAGAGATCATGTGCATGCTGCATGCACTAGGCATGGCAACACATATGATATTCCAAAAATTTGGCATTATGTAAGCAGGATATAGAACTCTGCCATGGCCGGTCCGAAGCCAATCATGCCAGTTCCAAGCCCAGAGAAAGGAGGAGGATTCTGTTTGGTGGGCAGCCAGCATAAAATCTTGCCACATCTTTTTATGAATCCTAAACCAAATGCTCATGATGCTCCCTGTATGACTGAGGGAACGGCCCTTGATTGAGGGGAATGGTGGAATAGGATCTGTGTAGGTGACCTAAAATAGTTGGGACAAGGCTCGGGTGATGATAGTGATGACCATGTAAACAGGATATAGATCGAGTCAAGACTTTTTGGATCAAATTTCTTTCTACTGAAACTTTCTCAACATAACATATAGAAAGTTCATTTAGATAAACAACAGTCCACTAACCTTTTCTTGTTCCGGTGTGTACATCTGTTTTCCCTTTCTTTCCCACCGTAAGTATGCTTGAACTTGTACTAGATCTTCAGGCACTGAAATATTTTGAGCTGTTCTCACATCACTCACCAGCCGAACCTGAAAGTTTTGGCCATTGTTTTTGAACCTAGGGATTGAAAATCAGAAATCAGATCGTGCATTAAAAGAATTGAGCTTTAAAAGACAGAGAAATCCAAGCTGGTTGAATTTTACAAGTGGATCACCATTTGTTCTGTGACTCATCAAACAAAAGGAACTCTATGGCTTTTATCTGAGGATCATCGACCTCTATCTTCAAAAAGGAGTTCTCACCAGACTATGCAACATGCAAATATATAAACATTATAATTTAGAGTTCAACAAAACAAGCTTGAATAGCACTTTAAAAAGTCAACAACATACTATAGCTATTCTGAATCCTGTGTTGTTTGCAATAAAATATGTATTACAACTAAACCCCACACCCCAGAAAACACATACTTTCACAAAAGGAGTTCTTAGAGCCCTGTTCTTGTAGTTTTGAGTTCCTTCAGGATGACGAGAAGGTAATTTCCAGTTCCTGTGAATTCAGAAGAACTTTCAATTAGGAATCCAATAAAAACATTGGGGAAAAAGTGAAATAATAGCATTCTGAGGTTGGAACATAAACTTACTGCTGCCCATCATGAATGGTGCCCCAATGAAGGGTCAAGGACGGACTACTGTTTGTGACTTGAATATTAATTTGGAAGAGAGAACCAGGATTGGATTCATCCACAGATATCTGTAGATAATATAGGAATGGTTTTAAATTAATAAAAGTTGGCTATGTGGCTGAAATATCATTTCTTCAAGAAATATAATTATTATACCTGCAATTCTGATCTTCCATCAAGGTCAAATTTTCCTGCTGACTGCCACAAGACACCAGGAAACATATTATTTCCATATTTTGAGAGATGAGATGTAATTTGTTTAAGTACATATTGGATGACAATAATATTAATTTTTAGAAAACCAACAACCTACTCAAACCAGTGTTCGCAAAATCGAACCGGAACGGTTAACCGGACATGGCCCGGAAGCGGTTTAACCGGCCTAACCGTAAACCTGCCAATTCAACCATTCTAACCGGGCAAGTCTTGTGCAGTCAAAAAAGTGAACGAGCAAAAAAAAAATCTACTAAAATATAAAAAACATATAAAGAATGATTAAAAAAAAACACATTCAAATGAAGTTGAAAATTAATGAAAAAAATAGATTTTAACGAATCGAAATGTGAATTAAAGTGAGTATTAATGACAAAAACAATTTTTAATCATTACCAAAATGTAGAGAATATTAAAAAAAATACATTACAAACCAAATTCCTTATTTTTGGGAATTTATATTTTATTTTATTTTATTTAAAATATGGTTCGATCACCAAAACCGCCCAAAACCGGAACTGGCCACTAGACGATTCCGATCTAACCAGGTGGTTGGCGGTTAGATTGCCTGGTTTTTCTAACAATGACTCAAACTATGACAACAATCTCCTTATTTATCAATGTAGAATGGATAGAAATGTTTCATGATGTCCTAGAAAATCAAGAGCCTTTCAAAATTACCAAAATGCATTTCATTAAAGATTAATTCAACGTCCAAAGTTTCCAGTAGATTCACATCGATTCTGGACTGAATTCACAAATTTTCTCTAGTTTAACCAGACTTGCAAAAATTGTAGAGCGGTGGCACCCAAAACCCTGACCATCTATTTAAGTTTCAACGAAAATGAGATAGAAAACTTAAAGATGCTAATAAGTAATGCCACTTGCAGTTCTTTTAAGAGAGCATCAACAAGGGACGATAAATTTAATGAAAGAATTATACCCAAATTGTAATTTACAATGAATTATGCTAACCCAAATTAGAATTTACATTCATGTACCCTTTTTATTCTTTTTACGCTATTAGATGTACAAGGGACATAGTACATGGAACGCAAGTTTAGTAACAATAGGAGTAGAGAAGAGGAAGTAGTTAAAATTGACGGCCAAGAAATACCAAAAAGAGCATACTTTTGATATCCTAGGTCAATAATCTAGGAAAATGGAGAGATTGAGAAAGGTGTCGCACATAGAATTAGAGCTGGGGGGGTGAAATGAAGATGTGCAACCACAGTTTTATATGATCGTCGCATACCAATAAAGCTGAAAAGCAAGTTCTATAGGGCAGTTGTAAGACCAGCTTTACTTTATGAAGCAGAATGTTAGGCAGTCAAGAAACAACATACCTATAAAATGAGTGCAAATGAGATGAGGATGTTGTGTTAGATGAGTGGAAAGACAAGAAGGGATAGAGTCTGAATTGAATACATTCGAGAGAATGTACTCAATTTGACAGAAATTGAGGCACTAACTTGACATTTGACAGAATTGGCAGCCTTAAGATGCAATAAAAAAGATATCTCCCCAAGTACAATAGGTTTTTCCCATCCAATGTTTCAAAAAAACCGGCGCCTAGGCGCCCTGGACCAAAACACCGCACGCTCAGACCCAGGCGGCCCAACATGGGCGGATGTACCTAGGTGGGTGCCCAAGGACGTGGCCATTTTTTTTTTCTTTTTAAAGATATCCGAAAGGGAAAAGGGCGTATTTTTGACCCCCAACCCCAAAAAGGTTTAAAAAAGGTTATGGGGATTATTTTCAACCCCTAGAGTTAAAAGAACAATTCTATAAACCCTTATTGTCTTAGCTATACCTATTTGTGAGAAGCGAATGTATTTTTTGGGGTTTGACGAAGCTTCCTAAACTTTTTCACTTATTATGTAATATAGAGAGTTGGAGACTATTACTAATACATATCCTATTAAACTTTTAAATTTTGTATGGTTTGAATTTTGAAATTTTGAACAAGTTTATTCTCAACATGTGATACGTCATATGTTTGTATATAAAAATATATATTATAACAATACAACATTTTCAAATGCAATAAATTACAAAATTGACACAAATATATGTATATATTTTATATATATATATATATAGAACTTGTACTTTAGGACGCCCAAGGTTCTGGGCACTGGCTACCATCTCTCTCTCTCTCTCTCTCTCTCTCTCTCTCTCTCTCTCTCTCTCTCTCTCTCTCTCTCTTGTGCACACAACAAGAAACACAAGGAAAATACCTACCTCACTAATGAGTAACACACTATTTCAAGAGATACCATCACTACAAATTTCCTCTCTCTCATGCGCACACAACAAGAAACACAAGGAAAATTCCTACCTCACTAATGAGTAACACACTATTTCAAGAGGCACCATCACTACAAATTTCTTCTTCTCACATAAGCAAAATGTTCTGCTAAAAGATAAAAAAACAGATCTATTGCAGCCATTATTGCTTCTAGTATCTGAACAGTGAAACAAAGGTGAGTTTCAGAATGGTCCTTAAAGCACATATCTTCCAAACCAACCACCAACTTTTTTTATCGAGAGAAATAAGTCCATAACTTCTCTTGTAACTTTATCATGGTTTTAAACACTGTAATTTTCAATTCTGAAAAATCAAATCCAAACAATCAAATGTTTCAAATAAACAATTATCCCAGTGTTTCCCAGTAATTTTTCTCATATATTTATTACTTATTGAGTTAGTCACTAATCCAAAAGGATAAGTGGTAGCATAATCACCTAGACGACCATTTTTGACAATTGAAGTTAATCCCAAGTTTATCTCATTCAAATACAAGCTTCAGGAGTTGACTTGCATAATACCAACTTCCTTGCACCTACGTCAGTTTCCAATACTGTGTCAAATTAGTCAGTTTATGAGTGAATCAGGTATACAAAGCATTAGTTAAGTTTCCATTTATAAGTGGGTATATAAAAGTGAACTACACTACAATAACTGCATGCCTAACTCTACTAAATTAGACAAGACCAATGTATATACCAATGTAAAATCCAATGCTTTCCAAAACATGAGAAGTAAAAAATGCAAGCATGCAGATGCACCATAGCTAAACATCAGGTCCATAGAACAAAATTGAAACTTGAAAAGTGCTAATTAAATGAGAAACTAGTTAGACATTTGGTCATTACAATTTTTATGTATGTTTAATAACCATGATAAATGAAAAGCCAGGATATCGCAGAAAAAGTTACCTGAGAAACAGGATCTGTTGCCAGGACTGCACGTGGTACAAATGAAATCAACCGACGAATTTCATGAGACAGGTACTTTCTTTTTACATATAGATGGTTGACAGGAAATATGTCGGAAACTAGAGGCTTTTGATGGGATTTTGTTTTCTTTTTTATATTTAATGATTGATTTTGACCTGGGAGATTGCAAGAAACCCCATAACCAGCTCTGTTTTGCTGTTCGGAAACTGTCAAGAGAAGTTGGCCATGTACTTGATTTGCCAAACCTTGTCCCAAAGTATTGCTCATTGTTTTATTTACAAACACACACCACTCCTGCAACTAAAGGTGGAGAGTCAATGAGTATCCTTGACTGTAAAGACAGAAAATGAATTAGTAGCATTTGTGTTGCTTAATGAGTGTGAAATTTCATCGAGAACAAATGAGATAAAAATGCTGACTCTACAACCCATATATGATTTAAACAGCAGCACTAAAAGTCTCATCAATGCCATATAGGAATCAATCCTCCTGCAAAAGTCAAACTTCAAGAGGAGGACTATAATTTAAATGGCAGTTAAAAACATGCCAAATGAAAACTAATCTTGCAAAATGCTCTTTTAAACTGATAAATTAAAGGTTGATTTCTCAGCAATTGCCATTAATTTACCAAAAAAAAATTGTAGTTTCCTCACCCATTGTTAACAGTAACACAGTAAAGCTTATGTCAGTAATTGCCATTAAATTACTGAAAATCCACCAATTACATATATTGACATTGAAGTATATCTCGCTAATAGCCACTTTGTACTGACAGTACATCACTTTCATATCGAATAGGAACAAAGCTAGGACGCAAAACTGCAATAATTCTTGAAACTAAAACAACTGAAAATTCAGCATTACCATGAAAAAGTATAACAAAGACAAGCAGAATAACTATCACAAATCACAAAACCCGGAAAACTCGACACTCATGAATAATTATGAACTAATATACAATGAAAACGATCAAAATTAAACTACCAAAACTAATTCCTTGAACTATTATGAACAGAAAAAACCAATTTCTTGAACTATTGTGAACAGAAAAAACCAATTCCTTGAACTATTATGAACAGAAAAAACCAATTCCTTGAACTATAATGAACAGAGACCCAGCTCAATAACAGCAGCCATTGAACCATTGAAAAACCACCCATAATTCACTAGAAAATCCCGAAAATTTATTATGAACTCGCAGAAAAAATCTCATTTACGGAATCAAGTAAGTAGAAAAACTTCAGATGAAAATTTACCTCAGGAACAGTGATGAAAATGAGGGTTTCAAAATCAAAGCCAAGGAGAATTGCTCTGCTTTATTATTATTTCAAAATTAAATTACAGGACCAATGCTTGAAGACTACGTGTGTGTCACTTATAATAGGAACCATAAATATCGATCTTCGTATTGAGCACGTGCGAAAGTCAAATTATATGACACGTGTCTCGGCAGCAGCGTCCCACGTGGAACGATCATTCGAGATTTATTTTAGGGTTTGCATATGGGAAACTCGGGAGCAGCGATGAACGAAGAAATCGTGAAGAGTGGGACAGGGGATATTTTATTCCCAATTTTTTCAAAAGTACCCCTGATTGACTGATTTTTAGCATAAAGCCTAGGCTTTATGCTTACAAGTAAAGTCTCACCTTTAGATCTCGAAAGTGTAGTCTCAGGGCTCTGATCATTAAATTTGAAATTTAAAAAAAAAAAAAAATTTATAAAGTAGATTTATAAACACTTGAAATAGATGATCCATATAGTTAGGGCTTCAAATATTATTATTTTATATTTGTTATTGTTAAGTTCGATATGATACATTTGAGAGTTTTCTAATTTTTAAACTCCATTTCTTCTAACTTTTTTATGTGCAAGTTTACTTTTTGTTGTAAAGCTTGGGGCTTATATGAACTTTTTTTTTTGTCATTATTTCATACGTTACGAAAGGGTAAGGTTTTGATAAGGCCGCGTCCATATATAGCCGCACTTTGAATTCTACAAAAAATTTGATGTTCGGCATCAAAAAATAGTATCATGGTTCACAAATCTAGTTCCCCTCTGGCTATGGAATATGGGACTCTGAAAATGGTGTAGATCGAGATGATTTATGAAGAGTTGAGATAGATGGTTCAAAATTAATGCTGCAATATGGACAATTTTAAAGCTTGAAGTTTATTTTCAATTTTTTCTACAAGACATTTTGACATTAAGTTTGGACAGTTTACTCTCTCTTAAACTCAAAAAACTATTTCAGATAAAATAAAATGACCAAGATACCTTAAAATTTTAGAAGTGTTTTAGCCATTTATTTTTTCAAAAATATTTTTTATATTTTTTTCCAGTGAGCCCCATTGAAATTATGATGTGTACCAAATTTCATATTCACATGATTTGAAAAAAAAATTAAAATAAAATATTTTGAGACGTGAGATCTAGATCAAACAGTTGGTGGTTTATTTGTGACATTATGGCTGAAGCCATCCCAACCATCTATTCGGATCCGATAGTTGGGGGGTGAGAAAACATAGCAAGTTTTCCTATAAATAAAAATGGTTTATTGGTCGTTTCCTATATAAGACTCACAATGTCGTGCACTCAAGAAGAAATAAGGGTACTGTAATTTAGAAAAGAAAAAAAAAAGGGAGTCCAATTTGCTAGGTGGAAATCATTTTTTTTAGTATAAAAGTGAAGATGTTAGATCTCGACGACTTAGATTTTCGCTTTGCACTTTTCAAGGGGATCACTTGTCAGATTTTTCCTAATCACTTTTGATGGGCATACCTGTACTTTAATTATTTAATATTGATTTTTATGTTTTAGTGGATCTTTGTCACATGTGCCTTGATAAAGAAAGGGATATATCTAACTACTTGCATGGGAAAAGCATGGGGAGATAGAAACAAAGATGATATGGGCTTTGCTTTGAGAAGAGGAAAGGAAATATACGAGGAGACTTTACAGCCATAGAACCGCACATTATCTTCTTTGGTGGGTGCCGTTCTCACAAGCAATGTGTGAATGAAAATTATTAGATGAATAAGTAGATATCATTTTAGCTATTGAAAGATAAGTCCAAATCAAAGACTATCTATGTATTTAATTATGCTTAAAAATATTTCATATATTGGGACCCGAAAATTATCGCCAGGCCCGGGCCCAGACCCGGACAGAACCCAAACCCAAATCCAAATAGTATTCAGGTCCAAGATTTGGACCCGAACCCGCCAACTCCAATTTTTTGACCTATACCTAGACCCGGATCAGGTCTACACCTTGGGTCTAGCTCCATTGCTGCCCCTGCTATCTCTCTCTATCAAATTGTTTTAGGGGTTGTATATTACAATACTATTTATCTTTGTTACAAGCAGCCGCCATTACTCCTAGGCTTGGGGAATATTACGAAGTTTGAGAGGCTTTTTTTTTTAACTTTGAGTTTTAGTCAATGACACTCTTACGACCTCTTGATTTGAAATTCGAATGATATGAGTGATGTGACCTCCTTATACCAAAAGTAAATAATCTCTTTATATAATTTTTTTTATTATTTTATGCTTCAAAATATATGTTAAATTATTGAAAACAACAACAAACGTCGAACAAATGCTCATAAAAGGAGAATTTCACTTGCAAATCTAATCATATAACATTGAAAAAACAATTTCTTCATTAAAGTCTAGAGAGAGAGATCTTTGATGAAAACAATTCAACCAATGTGGATCAATTTGATGAAAGAAAAGCCAACACCAAATAGTGTTAATAGACTTCACATCATAAAACTTTTTCTTTTTCCCTAGACTTCATATCCAAATAGTGTTAATGGACTTCACATCATAAAACTTTTTATTTTTCCCTGGACTTCATATCATGCATTTTTCCTTTTACGGAAATTGTTGCATAATTTAACTCAAATCCCTATGCTTTTTGTATCAAAGGTTAATGGTCTCATAGTATACATTCCCATACAAATATCAAGTGCAAAATAACATCGATATATTAGATAAAAAAATTATTTCTTTTATCTTTCCCTTATGACTAAATAAGCTTAAATTTTGGTGAAATAATTTAATTTTGGAACAAATATGTTCAAAATTAATATAGAGTTTGCATTTTGGAAATGAAAGGGTAATTAGGTCATTCATACATGTAACAAAATATCGTTGTCATGGTAGCCCGGGTTTGTGGCATTATTGTTTTCCCTTATATTTACATTGGAAAAGGCCAAAAAATCCATATTGTCTTAGGTTTTGTACATTCCAGTTTTGCAAACAACAATCAGGGCCCTTAAATCTTTTCTTTTAATCAATTGTTCTCTATTGTTTTGTGCCCATGTAATTATAAAGGGTGAGGTTTGTACAAGGTGCCACCTTATACTATACAAGTAAGATGTGCCTCTAGAAAATTAGCGTTACAAGTAAGGTGCGCGACTAAAATTTACTGGAAGATGTAGTTTTGGTGTCGAAAATCTTACGATGGCATGAAAATCAATATTCAACTATAATTATAAATAAGAAATTGTCTATATCAAGCATATTTATAAATACTTAAAAATATTGAAAATAGACGATCTAGATAGCTTGTTACAAGAAGCAATATTTTTAGAACTCAACGTTCTTTACGTATTGAGGCCGAGATGATCAATTGGAAGGTTTCCTAATTTTGAAATACTCTCTTTTGCTGGATTTTTGAGGTGCACCTTACTTCTATAATATAAGGTTGCAGGCTTATATTAACTTTTTCTTTTTATAAATCTATTAGGTGGCGGAATTTGCGTCTCACTGGGTCAAATCCGGATGGGGACTCAATGGGAACTAAAGGAAAAGTTCTATAGGACAGCTATAAGACCAGTCATACTTTATGATAAAATATTGAATGGACAAGAAACAACATATTCAAAGGATGAGCGTAGCTATGTTGAGAATATCAAATGGCAAGACAAGAAAGGACAAAATTCAGAATGAAAACATATGAGGGAAATTTAAGTATGGTTTCAATAGGCAATAACATGAGGGAAAGTAGATTAGGTGTGCTGGGCATACAAAGTGCAGATTTAATACATAATAGGCAATTTGATTTGAAGTGGAATACTCAAAAAGGGCAATGGAAAATGGACATGTATAGAAGTAGTAAACAAAGATATAATGACTTTTGGTCTTACCAAGGGTATGATCCATGATAGAAATATTAGTACTTTAGCATAATAAAACAGTGTAATATATTTCAAAATAATATACCTACATGTGTTGTTTCTCTAAGTTTTTAATAAATAGAAAAAGAAAGTAGTGAGTTTTTAGTCTTACATTAAATAATGAAGTACGAAAAGAGTAGTATTAATATAATAACACTCTCATGCCTCATATTTATGGAACAAATGAGAGAGTATGGGCACTTGTGCAGAGCACGTAAAGATTGTGATGTGCACGTGTGAGGGCACTTGATAGCACACTTTGCACTTTGTATTTTAAAAGCATGCTCGCATCGGTGCATAAGGCGTCCCTCGCCCAAGCACATGTGTGGATCGCTTGAGGCTCACCCCAATTTTGTGTGACACACCCTAGATTGAAAGTGTCATCCACGAACTAGTTTTTGAGATTGAAGGGCCGTGCACTTAGTGATTGTTGGGGCCATCAACAATTGTTAGATGTTGGATTGTGTCACATGGCAATGTAAACAATTGTGATTGTTCACATTAACAATCACTTTTAAGTGTCTCTACACAATCTACTAAAGAGCATTTTTTTTAATATAATTTTTAGCTTTTTTATTAACTGGATTTTCTCTCTCCCCCAACAATTGCTTACTATTTTCTCTCTCAATAATTAAAATCATGCCTATTTTCTCTCTCTAAATTTTCGCAACTTCGGTGCATTATAGGCTAGTCTATATGGTCTAAAATTAGACAAGTTTTTCAAGTGACTTTTTCTTTCCAAATATCCAAAAGACTTATTTGCCAGGGTTACTTTTTGCAAATTATTATGTTACAGTAAGGGAGAAAATAACAGTCTTGAGAGAACACATCTAGCGTGGTTGTAAACAGGAAAGCCCATTTCTTTAATTGCTTCTTTCATCTTTTTTCATAAATACTGTAGCTTTTGTTTCAGCTATTTTAAATTTTCAAAGCGGAACCGGATTCAATTTTAAAGTTTCAAATAGGAACCAAAATTATGTATGTGACTCCAAATAATTAGGATAAAGCTTGTATGATGATAATGATGAAGCATTATTTTTTTCCTCTTATGAATGGATTGGGTAGGAAAATTTGCTCCTCAGTTGCCCAATCCGGATAGGGACTCGATAAGGAATAAGGAAAAATAATAATCACAATTTACAAATAGATAAAAGAAAATTGATTGGACTATTCCAGGCCA